ATGCTGAACCTACACATGCATGTTGGTAGGACCATCACATTTCAAATTGATCAATTTTACAACACACAATTCAGTACAAAGGGTCCCTACCTACCATCCCTTCATTTTGAATCCTCCTTTCTAGTAACTTTCGGAAAATGCTTTTGTCGAACTAGAAAAGCTTTGGAAGAAAACTCGCGCAATGTAACTCTCTCAAGATGCTCAGAAACAGAACTAGAAGCCCTGCCAAACGGGTTATAATGTTTTCTGCAGTCTGATATAAGCCGTATGGAGGAAGTTAAACAAAGTACCTAAGGATCAAAACTAAACATCTGAGTTCAAGGGAAACTTTGAGGAGGATTCATCGTCTTAGAATTTTAGAGAAAAAAACTCGTGCAGTAACAGCAGGATGGAAACAAGAGATGCCCTATATCAGTAAAGAGATCTGTTCGAACTAGTTTGAGCTTACGAGTTTGAGAAGCACATAAAAGGCAAAGGAGGAGGTAATGTAATATCCAGCAATGGAATCCAATAAATTGCAACAGAGACGTGTTATAATTTAAACAAACCCCAAGCTCAAGCACACACTCAACCTTCTATAACCTAGATCAGGTCAAGCTCAAAAGAAAATTTTCCATTTATGGAAGAACAACTAATAAAACCTTCCATGGTACTTGATCACCGAAATAAAACACAAGAAGGTTGATAACCCGAATTCTCAGCAACCAAAAAACACACGCTAGACAAACAAGCTCCACCCTCCATAGAGACAAATACTGTCGATGAAGGGGATATACAAACCAAAAAAGAACCTAGTCAACCAAAATACAACTAGAAGGTCAGCTTCAAATCATTTTGAAATTTTTATCATATACTCCTAAATACTCAACTACTCTGTACAAATCCCATCAAAACAATTATCATATACAGTCAACAACAAACCGTTTACCGTATGATATTACACAGATGACAGAACAATTTATGTGAGTCTTTACGAACTCGAAGTAGAAGCTTCTTGTCTAGGCTCTCTCAGGTACCCTAGAAGTGCTTCGGCCTGCCAAGAACACAACCATACACCATCAATATAATTCTTCCCATGAGAACATCAATGGGTCAAGAAAATTGTAGCTTTCAATCCATGGTACCCAAAACTACAAGCAACAGTATAGTAGACAACCCCACCACTGAAAACAACACTGCAGCAATTATTCCTTTATGGCGTGTATTCATAATTTAATGAATGGTTAACAAACATCCATCTCAAGATCACACCATGAATAACTATGATATAATCAAAATTATTAGTTCTTGGAGTTGAAGTTCAGTATTCAAATTATTATATTCAATAATTCGACAAGTTCCATACAACTAGCTAGACTTTCTATGCCTCTCATTCAAAAATAAATCAAAATTATTTAAAACAGTCATTAGATCAGCCTACAGAAATCAAATGCGTAGCTAAAATTGTGATCCCTGTTAATGAATGTAGTCGCGAATAACTTGGGCACTAGAATTGGGTATCATAATTGGAACTATAACAGACTCCATTCAATTTGGCAGTCACTTTTAAACATATAAATCTAAAAGGAAGCTCTTAAACATATTCTTTTGGTAAAATAAGTATATAAATTATCCCTACTTTGAGAGGAAGCTCTCAAAATGCATAATTTATGTTAAAAATAGCATACTGTTGAAATAATTGAAGGACAATATATTCCAAAACTCACCTTATGCTTAGCTTTTGATGTACCAGTCTGTGAGAGGGCAACAAGTGGTGGGATGCCTCCCTCCCTAACAAGCAATCCCCTGTTCCGAACACTTTCTCTACACAACTGCAACAAAGTCAAAACTGCAAATTCCTTCCCCTTAACGCTTCCATCCTCGATTGCCTCGACCAGTGCCGCAATACCACCTTCCTCTATAATTGCCTCCTGTCCCATCTCAATAGCAGCCAAACTACTCATCACCACCATCGCCTTCTCCGCCAAACCGGTCCCCTGCTCTCCCACTAGCCCCACCAACGGCCTCACAGCCCCCGCGTTCACTGTCCTCTCCTTATTCAACCTCACCGAGCATAACTTATACAGCGTTGTTAAAGCATCTTTTTTCCCTCTACTCGACCCATTTATGAGCAGTGCCACTAATGGAGGTATTGCACCGCAAGCACCAATTGACAATTTATTCTCTTCAATCAAAGCCAAGCTTAACAAAGCGCATGCTGCATTCTGTTTGGAAGTCTCTGTGCCTGTTTTTAACACGTAAATTAAGGATTTTACTGCACCTGCATCTGTGATCACACTTTTGTTGCTTTCAAGAAGTGAGAGATTGAGTAAAGCCGTGACTGCGTGTTCCTGAGTCATCGGATCCGAGCAGCGGAGAAGCGGGATCAAAGCGGGTACTGCACCGGATTCTCCAATCAAGGCCCGATTATCAGCTCGATTTTTTGCCAATAGTCTCAATTTAGCAGCTGCTGACCTTTTAATTGCAACTGAGGACGATTGCAACCCGTCCACACAGAGTTTTACAGTAGGCTGAAGGTCTTCAGGAGAAATGCTTTCAATAATTTCAGTGGAAAACGTCTCTCTCTGCAAAAAGCCCGAACATGGTTCGGGCTCCGGGTCTTGTGTTGGTCCCTGATTCGGGCCAGGATCGGGGAGGCTAGCTAGGCGCTGGAGCTCTCCAGATATGTCACTGGAGCACGCGGAGAAGTCGCTGAAAGCTTGGGAAATGTCCAAAAACTCGTCGATTTCGGAAGAAGACGAAGCTTTCGAACCAGTCGGCGATTTATTGGCGAGCTCCCCGAGGCGAAGGTCTATAACCGAGTCGGTTAGGTTTTCAGAAACGTTGGACGATTTCTCGTAGATGGGACCGGACAAGTCAGTTTGGAAGTGCTTTGAACGTATGGTACGCATGGAACGGCCCATCGAACGGCTGATCCTGGCGGAGGACGGCGGCGGAGTGTAGTAATAAGGCCGCGTTCGAGGAAAGTGATTAGTAATGTTGGGATTGGAATGTGAATGGGAGCGTGAATCTTCTAGAGAAACCATTATTGCAAAAACCCACAACAAATTAAGCCTTAAATTTGAATTCTTGGTGAGGTCTTCAAGAAATTTCCATGGCTTTTTAAGCAAATGAAGGAATTTTATAGAAGAGAAGATAGATTTAACTGAACTATTCTTCGGGTTGAATGAGTGGATATGGTCGATCAATTTGGTTTCATTTTTGGTGTGAGAGACTGTGGGACGCACTAAATGGACCCGTTAAGCTATCACAGAGAGTGTGGAGTCGGCTCGGCGATGTCTATGCGACGTCGTTGCTTCTCTGAGGCAGGATATGCCATTGAAATAGAAAAATGGAAGGAGAGTTGGGATTTCTTTTTATGGCATACTATGCAATTAATTATTAATTATAAATTAGTTGAAAAGTGATTAAAAGCAAGGTTTTTTTTTTAATTTTAATTTATTAGCTGTAATGAAAAGACAACGTTTTAAGACGTTTGTAGAAAGAAAATGACATACTACAAAAAGTTTGTTGTCTCAACACACGTGTCTCTTGCTTATTGGAACACAATATATAAAATATATCCTTATTTACTAATGAAAGTTCATTAAACCTATGCTTGTTTTAATTTAATTGAAAGTTACTAAATATTATAATGTGATATAAATAAATTATAGAAAATTAGATAGTAGATTTGGATCATACGAAATGTCAAATTATAAGGAGTATCATTTGGCTAATTTATAAATTGTCAAACTACTTTTTTCAATACATACATTAGTACCATTCAGTTATTCACCACTCATTTTTATTTATTTATAAATTAAATAGTTTACACATCATTTCTCGAACGAAGGCTAGATTATGAATAATGCTACAAGAACATTTTGGATGACACCTCGGTTGATCGAACACACACACATTGGGGTCGGCATTATTTAATTCACGCAGGACCCACGGTGCAATGTGAGGGTCGATCAACCAATGTGACATCAAATTCAGGCAAAGTGGCTTTACTCCTAGATTTTATACTAAGCCCTTGTTTGGCCATCATTATAATGATATTTTTGGAAATAATGTATTTTGAAATAGTGATTTTTGGATAATGTGTAGTTAAAAAATAAGAATTTTTTTTTTTATTTATGTATACTATTTTGTTTTTGGAAAATTATAATGAATGGCAAACAAACTCTAATTTGTGCTTTTAATTAAAATATACTTTCTACGATTATTGCACATCAATCACTACGCTTTATTATTGTATGAAAGCATTAAAAATCATGTTAAGTTCAAAGAGATTGCGTGAAACGTTCGAATACTCAGATTCCAAATCATCCAATAGGACAAGCTGAAATTGAGGACGGCTCCAATTCATGGTTTTTGTAGTAACTAGTTCACTTTCAATTTTTCTGTTTTTAGTTTACATTTTTGTACTAACTTTATTTATTTATTATTTTTTTTGTAGAACTTTGAATTCAAATAAATAATTTTTGCTATTTAAATATTGCCAATAGACAAATATGCTATTTTAAATTGAAAATAATAATAATAAAAAGCTACTTCCTTCCTAAAAAAACGCGCACACAAAAATAAAAATAAAAATAAGTAGGACAAACGTTGGAAAGGATGTGAAAAGGGAGAAGAACCACAAACGATGGGGTAGGGAGTTGGGTTTGATGGGATGCAATTGCATTGGACATTGTTTTCCATTCTTTTGAGATAATTATAAAGATACTTCTTGAGTTTCGATAAGACTTCTCAATTAAAAAAAAAGGAAATTCATAATCGTAACTCTTATTTTGATTTCCACGACAGATTTGTTCGTGTATGTCAAAGAAAAAATTGTATTTCCTATTTTATTCATTTATTAGTAACTTAATCGATATTATTAACAACACATATAAACTATCTTCCTTTCACTTGTTTTTTCTTATTTCTTAAGAGATTTTATTTTAAAGAAAGTTTTTCTTTTATAATAATGTTTAAATAAAATTTATTATGTAATATGATTTTAAAAAGTCGACGTTTGGGATCAATCTTGTTCTTTATAAAAAAAAATACAGAAGTTAATCAATCTTTTTCAGAGAAGAAAAGAAAGTCTCAATTGAGACGAAGTTTTTGATAAGATTTTAGTAAATTTTAATAAAATATGATAAAATGTATTGTTAAAAAATTATTGATCACATGAAATATATTGTTAAAATTAAAGTTTTGCCAATTGAAAAATATTTAACGAAGTTCTATTAAATTAGCACTAATTGTTTATCTATTAGGTGGTTATAACGCTATTATTTCTTTTGTTGTACTATCTTTTAATTACACTAAAATTCTTCAATCTTTTTTATTGTCACACTTATATTTCTGTATCTCTTTTTTTTTTCCTTTATTTTTTCTTATTTATTTATTTATTTTTGCGTTCTTGTCCTTAATATTCCATTATATGCTATATCTACTCTTTGATGATAGTTTTTGTCAGAGGCGGAGCTAGGATTTTTATTTTTATTTTTTTTGGGTGGGACAAAAATTATATAGCAAAAATAATTTTAAATAATATAACTATAATTGTTCCCATCGTGTTTTCATATTTTGAAAATATCGTATAATTATATCATTATCAATTTCGTTAAATATATTTTTCTAAATAAATAAAATGCAACTTTATTCTATTACTAAATCCTTTCAAGAACCTGTTAACTAAAACGTTCCAAGAAGTACTTTGAGATTGCACATAGACCAGAGATGAAAATTGAATTCTCAGTTCCCTTAATTACCGCTCTCTTAGCCATAAACTTTCTCTGAACAAATAGTTAAGGAAATGAACCAAATGCAAGCAGATTAAAAATGCAATCAGAAAGTTTTAGAACTTAAAATTATTTCAATATTTAGTTCTATATTTTTGAAATGATAGAAGACGTATAACTTTAGACAAGTGGTTTAGCTTTAATGGAGCCAACAAGTCTTATATGATAAAATCTTGTCCTACTTCGAGATAGGCCATCGATAGCAACCTTCAGCTTTTCAGGGTTGATAGAAGTTTATTTGTCGCTCCTCAAATCATTAGCAGTTGAAGTTAAAATCGAGTTATCTTAATAAACATATTCCCAAAACCTTGATTTTTCCTATGATCCCTATATTTATTTAAGAGAAAATTACAGACACACACAATAAGCATCTAACATTTCACTACGAGAATTAAAGTAAGCAAACCCAAATTTCCAATCACAAATAACAGTGAAAACAATAAGATGTTAAAAAAGAATAGAATATGGAAGAAAGGAAGAACCTTTTGATTTTTAATTTTTTTTTCCAATTTAAAAAAAAAAAAAATCAGATTTTTTGGGTGGTCCACTCCACCCTTGCCCAAGTGTAGCTTTGCGCCCTGGTTTCTATCCAAATATTCTAAGGATAGCAAATGGGTTGAGCCGCTCACAAGCTCGATTCATGGGTGGCTCTGGCTTGTTTTAGACAAGTCATGAATCGAGCTGAACGTAATTTTTTTATTATGAGTCAGCCCGTGGATGAATTTGTCTCATTTTAATTTTTCCAATTTTTTTATTAATTTATTTTTTTAAAAAAAGTACAAGATCATGGCTTCTGGAGTGCTCGGGTCTGTCCTTGAAATCCATGAGCCAAAGTGTCGAATTGAGCCTAATTTGTGAGCACAAACCGACTAAACAAGTCGTTCAACTCATTGACGCCCCTAAAATATTCTGTTTGCGTACTTTGAAATGAGAGGAAAATATTTAATTGCACTTTTATAGTATTGGCTTTATAATGAACAAATAAGTATTTTTACGTCCTTCAATAAATTTTTTGGATAGATATCTTCATTGGAGGACAAAATACACTAATTCAATGAAAAAAAATTAGAAATAAGAATGTAACGAAAAAAAAATTAATTACACAGTTACCATAATTGAGAACCTTTAATGTAGTTAAAATGTGATAGACGAGAGTTACATATTTTCCAAAGGTAATTCGCACAAAACACTCCTATCATTTGCCTCTATTGTGGAATAACTGTTGATAGTTGTTGATAATATTATTGATGCTGTCGTCATTCATTTGATTTACACACAAATCAAATGAATAACGAGATCAATAGTGTGTGTGTAAATTAAATGAATGACGACAACATCAATTATATTATCAACAACTATCAACAGTTATTTGATAAAGAGAGAAAAGATTGGGTCGGTAACATCAATGATTTATTTGTCAATCAATATCGGTCAAAGAACTATTATTAATCGTCGATAATATAATTTTTTTCTTTTCTTTTTGTTTTATTTAAAGTGGGATATATTTATCACTTCACAACGTTTTATTGAGAAAAATATAAGAAAATGTTGTGTTCCCAAAAAAAAAAAAAAAAATTGTCATATAGAAGGTTTTCTACCAAAATGAAATGATATCAGCGTATTTCACAACATAGGCAAATAATAGAGATGTTTCGTGTCAACTACCCTTTTTCCAATGACAATAATGATAAGAATTAAGCACTGTAATGATGAATTGTCCACTAAAAGCCAATTATTACAAAACATAAAAGCGGTCTAAAATAAATAAATAAAAACGCGAAGATTCCTATTTCCCTGCAAATTTCTCATAATAATTCGATAAGGTAGAGCCGTCCAGTTAGGCCAACAGTCTTCGTCCGATAGCACCAGTGGTTCTTGAAATTTAGCCAGAAGACAACCATCAAAATCTACCAAGTGGCATTCTTCTCCTCATTGATTATCACGAATTTACTCGGTTTACACACGTGGTTCCATGCCGACACCAAAAATATATTTAGGAAAACAACCAGCTTTCGTTCCAAAAGATGGAGTAAACTATTCTCAAGTCAACAAATGAGTAATGCTAATATACAAAACAATGCCCATTTCTATTAATTTTATTGAATTGTTCTTTTCAAACTTGATGTATATTTTCTAACATGGGACCGTGCTTATTTATTGCAATACGAGACAAAGTGAACAGGTTATTCACTGTCAATATTGAGCAGGCATTGCCAATCATCTCGGAAGAGTTGAAGCTTAATCTA